CTTTTAAAATTCAAGTGCAGTATTCTTGAGGATAAGCTAACACATGAAGTCTTTAATATCTTAGTGGGCAAGAATTTTTTTTCTGTTGAGGGCACAGCCCATGAGAACACCGAAACTTAGGGGAAAAAATGGTCCCAAAATGGATTCAGAACCATAATTTTAGCCATGAAAAACTCTGATTACACAACCATTTCAAAAATTAGAAAGGGCTTGTATTATTTAACTCTGCAATGAGAAGCATACGAGATTGCCTTTAGCACTGACCTTATGGTCAACAAATCTATGTTTTATTAGGAACACGGCCAATCTAGCTTCTTCTGCACCCCACCTATGTCATCCCCTCCTGTATTATAGTATTTTGATGCAAATCCTAAACATTATCTGTAAATATTTCAATGTTATTTCTAAAAGGCCTCTTCAAAAACACACACAATACCATTATTCATAGAACAAAATTAACAACAAATGTTTTATATCATCAAATATTCAATGTAAAACTTTTGGAAGAAACACAGGAGAAAATCTTTCAGATGTAGGGCTTGATGAAGAGTTTACACCACAAACATGATCCATAAAAGAAAAAATTGATAAATTGGACTTCATCAAATAAAAACTTTTGCTCTGCAAAACATCCTATTGAGAGGATAAGAAAAACCAACAAATTGGGAGAAAAATATTTGCAAACTATGTATCTGACAAAGTACTCCTATCTAGAACATCTATTAAGAACTCTTAAAACAAACTAGCCATTTAGAAAATGAGCAAAAGATATGAACAAACATATCATCAAATAAGATCTACATATGGCAAATAAGCCCATGAAAAGATGTTCAATACGATTAGTCATTAGGGAAATGCAAATTAATGCAATGTGATATCACTACACTCTTATCAGAATGGCTAAAATTTAAAAAAAGTGGTAACACCAAAATGAGAATGAAGAAGTACTTCACATATTGCTGGTAGGAATGTAAAATAGTACAGTGACTCTAGAAAAAGAGTATGGGAATTTCTTTAAAAACTAAACATGTGCTTACTGCAGGTCTTAACAACTGCATTTATCTCAAAGAAATGAAAACTTATGTTCATACAAAGACCTGTACATGTTTATACCAGCTTTATTCATAGTCAAAAACTGGAAACAGCCCAGATATCCTTCAACTGGTGAATGGTTAAACAAACTGTGATACATCCATACTACAGAATGCTACTCAACAATTAAAAGGAACCCACTATCTATAAAGGTAACACCTTGGATGGAGCTCAAGGACGTTACGCTGTGTGAAAAAAGCCAATCTCAAAGAATTACATACTATGTGATTCCACTTACACAACATTTTCAAACTGAGAAAATTATAGATCTGGGAAATAGATTAGTGGTTACCAAGGGTAATGGAAGGGTATAGAGATGGGATATGAATATAACACAGTAGGTAATACAAGGGATATCTTTGTATTGATGGAACATTACTGTTTAATGGTAGAGGTATTTACACACATTAACACATGATTAAATTGCAATAGAAACACACATGTACAAATGAGTTAATGTAAAACTGATGAAATGTGAACAAGGTCTAAGGATTGTGCCAACATCAATTTCCTGGTTTCAAAATTTACTATAGCTATGTAAAATGTGATCATTGGGGTAGACTGGGTGAAGGGTACATGAGATCTGTTTTGTTGAAACTTTCTATGAATCTAGTTATTTCAAAATAAAAAGTATGCACAAAACCTTCACTAGTCCTACTTTTCTTCTCTTAAGCTTTCCAAGATAATTGTCTACATACCCCAATAATGAATCACAAATCCCATTCCACTCTAATTGTCTTCCAATCCACCAATACATACAGCCAAAGTCAACTTTTGAAACATCATTTTATTAATCCCTCTTCTTAAAAACCCTTTAAAATCCTCCCAAAGCTGTTAGAATAAACTTCAATGTGTAGTTAAAAAAAATAATTCTGCTGTGATGTAGCCCCTCTCTTGGTGTCATTCCACACCATCTCTATTCCGCTAAATTCCAGTCACACTCATCTTCCCCACCTTCTAGTTCTAGAAACTGCCAAGAGCTTTACAGCTTTAAAGCCTTGACATAAACCATCCCCCCTCCACAGAAAGCAGAGAAAGACAGTGGTTTCCAGTGTGACCTCCAAACTTCAAATCACACAACACTGAATTCTGCAGGCTTTGATAAGCAACTGAGCTGGTTCTCACAGGGCTAACTATGCAGTGTATGCCAGGAACTGATTTAAGACTGGTTTCAGACCTTCCAAGTAACACCGATACCAGCTAATAAACAGCCTATTTGATTGCTTACTGGTCAAATTAAAAAGTCTTTAATGCTCAAAACAACCACCTTCAGGAGAAATTAGGATCCAATTCACAACTGAGCCTTAAAGGAGCTTAAGATACCCCCCCACACACAGTTAAATAAGAAGTGGAGGGGTTGTATTCAAAGACAGTTTTAGACCTCTACTCAACATTGCCTCTTATTCTTTTCCTCCCGCCCCAAAACAGCACATAAATCCTGTAGGTGGATGCTGGGATCCGAGGTTGGAGACCAAGCTCCATAGGATCCTGACCTTCTCTCACGCCTGGGACAGGAAGGTACAGCAGGGGCACAGGTGCGGCACGAGGCACCTCTGAAGGAAGGTGCAGCGCAGGCAGCGGGGCAGAGCCAGCAGCTACTCACCTAGTGCTGGCCCTGCGGCTACTCTGGCACAGCGGCCAGGGCCTCCCCGGCACGGTAGCACATGTCATGGAGAAGCCCCCGGGGAAAACCCCGCGGGCCCGTCCGCAGGCACTACACAGGTAACGCAGCGCCGGCACCATCGCCAGCGCTCTGTCCCCTATCTCAGGGCCCAGAGGTGGCCACTTGAGCCGGACACAGCCTGGGCTCTGGCGTTCTCTGGCCCCGCCTCCCACGCAGGGACCAATGAGGTGCGCGCCTTCGCCCACGTGGGGGCGGCCGCAAGTGACCAATGGGCGCGCGCGGCAGAGGGCGAAGGGCAGGCGGGCGCTGGCGTAGACGCGAGGGACGCTCGTTCGCTCCCTCCTTTCCACTCCGTGAGTAGAGAGGAGCTAGGCCCGCAGCGGGGTGGCGCCAGGGTGGTGGTTAGGCTCTGCCCTTTCGCTTCTCCCCTCGCTGGGCTTACGGAAAACCTGTCCCGCTGAGTCGCGCGCTTTCGACCTTCACTGCTGAGCGGACTCAGAGCCGCAGGAGAAAGTCTGGGCGTGATGATGGGGAAAACTCGTTTGGACGGGCCCAGCGGCCTGGCCTCCCTTCTCTCTAGGCCCGCCCCGGCCCTGTCCCGGATCTGCGCCAAGCGGATTGCTGGGTCCCCACCTAACGGAGTGCCCACTGAAGGGGTGCTCCCACGTCGCTCCACACCGAGGCTCTTTGTCACGGCAATGCCTGATAGCCTGAAGTCTTCTGAACTTTTTGTGGGGCTCCCGGCGGTGTCATTCAGTTATTTGTTGTTCCTGTAATTATTGAGCACATAGATGAGCCAGACGGCTCGGTCTCTGCCATCATTTAGCAATCTCTTTCCTTAAACTAGGCCGAGGTACGATTTTTAAATATGCTGTACAGGCCTGAGAACAGCGACTCACCTGTACAGGTCACATCTCACTTGTTTCCTTATCCGTGAAATGAGGGAGATGGGCTATGTAATTTCTAAAAAAAAAAAACCTAATTCCGTGAAATTACGTCATTATCACTGTGCCAGTTTAACACCCATTCTCTGCGCTTGATGGCAGTTTTTAATTTTTAGAGTGAGAACAGCTGAACAGAAAAATAGAATGTACACTTACTGCTGAAAGGACTTTACTTGCCTGTTTGTATTTGGTTCCAGTCATCAGTCAGATGACTGAGGGAAGTCCATTTCCCCTCTATGCCTCAGACCCTCCCTTGTGAACTAAGTAATAGTATTGTGTCTTTGATTACATGAGATAAGGCTCATCAGGTTTTTCTCGCAGTGACATACTTGATAAATGACTGCTTTTATTTGCTCAAATGATTTTACCTCCTGGATAGTTGTACATTTTTCGCTTTAATTGTGAAAACAATGTAGAATGTTACCTGGTTGTTCCATCACAAATTTAGAAGAAAAGATGGTTATTTTTTAAGTCAATTTTTAAATTTTGAGATCATCGTAGATTCTCATGTAGTTTTAAGAAACAATGGACATCCTGTGTACCCTTTACTCAGTCTCCCCCAATGAGAACGTATTGCAAAACTATGGTACACCATCACAACCAGGAAATTGAAATCAACACAATCCACCAATCTTATTCAGATTTCCTGAGTTTTACATTTATACAAGTATTTAGTTCCTTATAGTTTTTGTCACATTTGTAGGTTCTTGTATCAACTTCCTGCAGTGCACCCCCTCCCCAATCTGTTCTCCCTTTCTATAATTTTGCCATTTTAAAAATTTATATAAACAATTATACCGTATGTAACTTCAGAATTAGCTTTTTTCACGCAGTATAATCCCTTGAGATCCATCCAAATTGTATGTAGCGATGGTTCCTTCTTATTGCTGAGTAGTATGTTTAACCACCCATTGAAGGATATTTGAGTTGTTTCCAGTTTTTAGCTATTTTGAATAAAGCTGCTATGAATATTAGTACACAGCTTTTTGTGTAAACCTGTTTTTGTTTCTCTGGGATAAATACCCAAGAATCCAATTGTTGGGTCATATGCTGGGTCATATGATACAAAACATATAGCTTTGTAAGACATTGCCTAACTCTTTTCCAAAGTGACTGTACCTTTTTACATTCCCACCAGCAATATTTGAATGATCTTTTTCAAATCAAGAGCTCACCTTACATTTGTACACTCTGTAATGTTTTTGGCTAGAAACATTTGTATTCATGACACCACCCTCCTCAGCTGAGAATTCATGTTCATCTTCCACTGATGTCAGAACCTATAAGGTGTTCAATGAGTGCCATGTGATGTTGGCCCAGAAATGGCCTTTGGGACCTTTGCTTCTAATTTCTAATGAATTGCTCTGTTGTATTTCACTAGACCCTTTAGGAATAAGAATCGGCATCAATAATAGGTTATTTGCAATGAGGTGGGGTTATAATTCTCCAATTCTTATACCACCCCGCCACTCTCCACATTTTTACATCCTCAAGAACTAGTTCCTTATTTGGTCTTTTGACTGCTAAGTTAGCCATCGCTTTGAATAATTATGTTTGAAATATAAAAACAGAACTTCCACTTTTTTTTATTTGCATAAAAAACAATCTTTTTATGCAAATTGAGACTCTCAAATCTACTGAGACACACTATATATCCTATTTTGAGTCATTATTAAAGGTCCGAACTTTTCAAGTCACAAACATAATGGCAACCTTTAGAAACATCTGTTACAAACTTACAGCCCTAAGCCATATTATGAAAGAAGTTTTTTAATTGTTTTAATTCCTGAATTATTTATTGCAGCAGTAACTTAGTAGTGATTATTTTTTAACTTGCTTTTAACTGGTCTCTTTTAATTCATTAGAATTAAATTAACCAACCCACCACTAGAGGTCTCCTCTT